TTCATTTTATGTATATCTTCTTCTTCTACCATTACTAATTAACATCAATAACAAGGGTAATTCATACATCATTGAGAAAAACTAGGCCTATCTATTTTTAGTGGATCAGAATCGTATGCAACTGGAAGAAAATTCAAAGAACCCCGTGAAACAGTAGATTGTTATTGTGTTGAAATCCTTGCACATGCGCAGATCCATCCATGTTACATCTCGGAAGCTTTACCAGCCTCAGCGAGGCTGGTAAAGATTACCGAGATGTTCCGAGATTTTACAAGGATATTACACGGAGGTACTTTCACACGTGCCGTAAAATGTTACTTTTGGTTACATTTTGTTACATTTGGTAAGATTTTTGTACCTGTGAATCGGGTATAAGTCATGTTAAAATACTAAAAATATATTTTTTTTCTATTTAAACTTTGACTTATCTTTGTACTTTACAATTATTCAATACTCATGTAACAGTGAGCGGCAAACATAGCTCTGGGTATACACCTTCAGATCTTTTATTGTTAGCAAAAAATCTTATCTGATCATACATACAGAGTTTGACAAAAATAAAACAACATTATACTGTAGCATTGTACTTCAAACCACTCTATTTTCAACTTACAATAATCATCAATAGTTTCCTCAGGTGACCCTCTAGAATAGATTTTATATTCTGTTTTCTCTTTAGCGCATAGAGACTATGTATTATGCGCTATGTAAGTCTCCATTACCATTTCCAAACAGAAGAAAGGTGATATTGAATTGGAGCTTAAAACTAAAAATAGTAGGTCTGTTTTCATGTCAATGCAATGTAACATATAAAAAATCCCCTACAGTAGGTTAGTAATTATGGGGTGAACAAAGAAAAAACAACGTAAAACAAATATTATACAGTTTAGAAAACAACAATAAAAGCTTCAAATCAACTTCAAATACAAAGTACATTTTAATACTATATAACCTTGAAATTGAACAGCAATTAGCTTATTTTTAAAATGGTAAAACTATTAAATAACAGTGCAAAATCACAGCAAACAAAGTAACTTTCAAACAGTTAAAATCTTATAATCAATGAACCACAGTATTTTATCAAAGTTTGTGTCAGTGCCGCCTGGCTAAAACATCATTCATGAAAAAAACAGTCATTATATTCTTCGTGTATGCAAAACGATAACAACTATATTTATTAAAACAACATAAATACTGTAGGAACCTACACTTATTTCTGAAATTACATCGGCTGTTGGTAAAAAAAAATGTCAATCAAACTCTCTTCAGAACTAATGATTCAAGGGGTACCAAGGTGGATCTTTCTCAAATTAGTAAATTAAAATTGTAATAATTATATTCAACTAAGAATGAACTTAATAATTGTTTTTTTTTTTTAATCTAAAAAAAAATGCTTTGCTTTACTTGCATTTGAGCCCTTCAGCTAAACACAATAATTGTAGGAACAGAAATGAACTAGGGAGTGAGTATACATGGTTCAGCGCACACAGGTGGCAACCTAGTGTACAGTTTAGCCAACTGAGCTTCAGATGTTTGTAAAGGTATAGGTATCATAGGAGAATACCCTATTAAACGTGCAGCATAATTGTGTTGAATTGTATATCCGGATGTGGCCCCATGACTACTTCGCCGCCATACAGGGCGCTTAATTCAAGTTCATCCTTTATTCGTTATTCCTTTAAACTTTACAAATCGAGGCTAGGTGCCAGAATGAATGTAAAATATATGTATTTTATATAATAAGGCAATATGAAATCGTAATCTTAATTTTATCTGATCATACATATCATACATAGTATTCAAACAAGACTACTGTCAAACTTACAATAATCATCAACTATACAGTAGTTTCCAAACAGAAGAAGCGTGATAGAAGGGTGATACTGTATCATTCCACAACGATTGGGCTGAAATGAACCATAATCAGGGTAACCCCCTCTCCCACCCCCACTGTGCTGAAAGAAGGTTTTTTGAAAGTGCACATGAGCCAGATGTGTACACTGGGCCTCCAATTTTAAATATTAAAGTCATCTGAGAAGACTTAGTTCTATAACCCAAGCCCCGGGCGATTTGTGGCTCCAACCAGCACTAATGCCATGGCTATAGTTAGGGGTGCCTTTGCCCTACCACTCAGCCACTCGACTTTGTTGTGTTATGTTAGTCCTTCAAAATATTATACAAATCTGTGCATGTATTATTCTGTCACTGTGTCTAAAATAATAATAATTAAAAAAAAACTATTTTTAAAAATTGAGTAATTAGCGCAACACAAAAGGAAAAAAAGGCATGTAAGATGGGAGTGTTATTGGTGGCGTAGTATCAAATACAAAAGCACACACACACTTTTAAGTAGAATGTTCTACATTTTGTACCTTTTCGGCGTGGTGACAAGGGAAAGCATACGTAAACCACTGTAAAATGGGAAAGAAGAATGTGATCGGTTTGATCATGCAAAAAAAAAAAAATTGTTATCACAAGCAAAAGCACAAAATGAAATGAAAATTAATAGTAATCTATAGCAGAATTTCAAGATAATTAAACCATAAAAAAAATAATGATTTCCCAGTTCTGACTTTGCGCACTTACAGTATCCATACCTGCATGTTACTACTAAAAGCTTTCAATTAAATTATAGAGAAAAATTCCTGTGTGCTAGATCAATATATATTATAAATATTAGTTCATTTTATGTAAATTATTATTGTGTATCCCATTTTAAACAATGTTACAAAGTGTTTTTAAAATTAAATAGATACACTATTTACTACAGTATGTACCTAACCTAAAACAAAACTTCTATTTGTATTTATCTTTTATATACTTTATTTTATATTTTATATATTATGCAAAGAAGTATTTGCTCTAGTGTCTCATTAATCTAGTGTCTCATTAATCCTCAGGGTTGAATTTCTAACATTAACAAGAATTAATTTAGATTCTGATTTATAAACCAGCAGCCTAGAACTGATTGCACCATGTATATCATATGAATGGAAAGCTCTATCAATTACTTAGAATCTACCTTATTACATAATCAAGTGGCAACAATCACATCCACTATGTCCTACGGTAAGCTGTTGCTAGAGCAACCATCATGAGTACCAGCAATTACTGAACCTAAGCCTTTCAGCTAATTCTTCTGAGAGATAGAAAATTATAATGAGGGAGATGTTACGAATGACATCAGGTTTAAGATAGCATATCTCAATGTGAATGATTTCAGAAAGGAATTTTCCTACAGAAGGGATAAAGGAACGAATGCCAAATAGAACTTGATGGTGATATAGGCTATTTCCCATAAAACCCTGTCCAGACTATCAAATTTCATTTGACAAAAACATGTGACATACCAAATATGGCCATGAGGACATCACATCATGACTATATATTGGCATACAACTGTATTTTGTCAAAGAAAATTTTATAGTCTGGACAGAACTTAATATTTACAAACAGTTGCTTTCACAAAATCAATATCGTGCAATCTACACAAACATAGTAAATTTTATTTAGTTTTTCATTTTATATTATTTATTTACCTACTTTTTAGTCATACATACAGTAGGCCTAACCAGTGCTCTCCAAATGAAAATATTTATTTATTTTTTTATGTTTTTTGGATGTGTACAATCAATCAAGTTGGGTAACACTGAAGTGGAGCATTTAAGAAGATTTCAATCGTAAAATCGCGCATTAACTCCTGCATTACTTATTTTTTAAAGTGGGAATATTAAAATATTATACAAAAGTGGGAATATTACAATAATCTAACAAATAAAGTAACTTTAACTAACCTCTCCAAACTAAAAAATTACACACTAATGGCCAAGTCAATGACCTTTTCTTCAAACATTAAATTTCCATTTAACACCTATGAGTTTATGCCAAATTCAGCCATACTAATAGCCATGACAACTACTAGATTCCTAAAACTAAATTTACCACACATTGTACACACATAACCAGCTTATAATAACTAAAATATTATTATCACCCAAATATACTAAAACAATTTATAGTTTATTTATTATATTATATTTTATTTTGATCTTATTTATTTATTTTTTACTATAATACGTATATATTTTAAAATATTATGTAAATATAAATCTGTGTTATTAAATTAAAATAACATCAATAAAAAACAAACCTTCATCATCATGGCTTGTAGTGTCCTCCTCGTCTAACGGTTCATCATCTACAGTGCGTAAGAATCGTTTAGTAGTTTTTGGAAATGATTGCAAATTCAGCTTCATGTACTTCTCACGAATCAGTAAAGCTTGGACCAGGAGACTAGAGGCATCTCTAAGGTCATCGACTGGCACCTAGATGAACAACAGTTACGAAATCACATCACAGTAAATTTACTGTACTGTATGTGGAATGAATTTGCTGTACATATTAATTGTGAATCTCCATCTACCCATCTACTGAATACTCCAAACCCATTTTCTCTGAAGTGGATCGTTACGGGTATATTGTCAGGAGATTGGATTGGTGCTCTTGTGAACTACTGTATGTTTCTGCGGGGTCAGCTGGCCCTCAAAGTGCGTAAAAACAGCAGACAGACACAGGACACTCAATGCCATACTGTACTTTCTCACTGTCCTTGTGCAATGATTTTCAGTATGTTTTTTCTTGGTTGAATTGTGTCATTATTGTTTTATCATTATAATTATTATTTTCAAATACTTCTCACTCACCCCACTAGTATCTTCACCACTTATTGAGACACGTTGGAAATCCATATCTATCTGTTTGTGAATCTGCATGTTCTCATCACTTCGCGTGAGTTGAGCCGGTTCCGGTACGGGCAGTGCAGCGTCCTCTGAATCCGCATCCACGGTATGAGAGCGTGTTCTACAGAAAGTTAATCATAATATTATCAAGGTCTATAAAATAAAACGCACACACAGACATAAACCTATTTAAGGGGGGGGGGGAGATGGGTTATACAAGTAGACACAAAAATACTTTCATTGTCAAAATACAATCCAAGAATTCAATGATAGATTTGTCAGATGTAACTATTAAACTTGAGTAGATATTAAGTACATCAACAATTGTTGTTTTTCAATGTTTTTTAGATATTTAATAGGCATTCTATTGTTTTCTATGTCTTTCATTGTATTGCACCAAGCAAAAAAAAAAATTCATTTATCACATGTTTGGTTGATGATAATAAAGCTAATTCTGTATCTTGTATCATAATAACCCCTTAAAAAGGGATGTCCCCTGAATAGGAATATCCCTATTTAGAGGACATTGAAAAAATGTGAAATTATCCCCTTAATACTGTATGTAGGGATTTACAATACTTCACATAGTAAATATGAAAGCAATCACCTTTATAATTTAATATAACCTAAGTAAAAATGATGAGTTACAATAAAATTCAACTTGTAACTATTATTAATACAACAACAAATTTTGAGCCTTTGATCAATGATAAAGTAATCCTGTTTAACTAATCTTATTGAAACAAAACGAATGTAATAGAAATCAATGCACTGGTCTCAGGCCACATTTTCAAATCCCAGGTAAGAGGCAAAATTTAATACAAGATTGGTATTAAACAATCCAATTGGAATGTCCAGTTGGGAAGTATGAAAAACTGACATCAGGACAGTTATGATATCTAAAGGTCAATATAAAAAGCACTCTTTCAAAACATTAAGTTTACGACTCAAAGGCTTAAAAAATACATTTGAAAAAAAATATTTGTATTTTGAAACTACTGAATTTGTTGTAATAATGGTAAAACACTTCCCCTTTAATTGTGTTGGATTGGCTGTTTTTCCTTAAAAAGGGATTGCCTGTAGCAAATTGATATTATTTCCTCCTCATTTCATGGAAAGTTGTCTCAAACAAGGGGTTTTCAGTATGAGTTCATTTATGTACTGTAGGCCTACAAACTTCATTTCAATTCAAAAACAAAGAAAGACCCTTGATAGGGGAAATTAAGAGATTTAATTTGCTGATTTTTGAATACCGATCTTGAAACCGAAACTAAACACCAATAAATGACAATGATACAAAGAAAGACCCGTGATAGGGAAAAGTGAAAAGAAATTATTTCCTCCTCATTCATGGAAAGGTATTCAGAAGGAGGGGTTCTCTTTATGAGTTATGTTATGTACTGTAGGCCTAAAAACTTCATTTTATTAAAAACAAAGAAAGATCCATGATAGGGAAATAAAAGATCTCATTTTGCTGACTTTCGAATATAGATCTTGAAACCTAAAGTTTTGTAAAATATCATCAACAAATAAATGACAATGATATAAATTTTAAAAAAATGAGGACAGTGCTGGATCACAATACTGTATGGCAATTGATATGGAAAAAAAAAATACAGACATAACAACATGCTGATGATATACTACTGGCTAAAGTTAGGAAATATAAGCATCATTGAGTCAATGTACTCTAATTGATTCTTCAATATATAGATAGATGAAATTCTTCCAAGTATCAATACTGTACGTCATTCTTCCTTATGCAGTAGTCACAAACATGATCAATATGAATGTAAAGAATGTGACCCCAGGAAACATATTGGATGCCAACAAAAACTTAATGCTTTGTCCACACCAAGGGCTTTGCCAGAAGGACAGCCGACAATTATTTCTAATAACAACAATAGATTGTTACACAGTAAAAGAAATCCCTAAATTGGATGTTATAATGAATGGATGGGATTAGGACACTGACATCCAATCTGATTTTGGAATATGCTAATACTGGTGTAACAATATCCACTGCCATATACAGTATTAGAGGGCATTTGATCCATCTTTCATGCATTTCCATACAACATACATAGACATGCTTTGGACGTACAGCATGGCAATAGTACAGACAACCATGGAAGTATAATACTGTATTCATTTTTATACCTTCTTGAGACAACAATATGTTGAGTGACAGCTAGTTGTTGGTACATATTATTAAGTATATTATTATTACATAGCATCTGTTACTACAGTATACATTCCATATATACAGTAATTTTTATTGGAGAAATTTAATATTAAGATTGATCAGAAACTTTAATAAATTAGTTTTAAAGGTTTTTTGTATAAACAGAGAGTATATATTAAAACCAACAAAAACAAGATTTAGAAAAGAAATAACGAGAGGACAGGATTAACAGTATCAAACTCGGGTAGCTCTCTCAAACAAAATTAATATTCTTTAATACAAGCTATTGTCTTTATAGCTTTACATGTGTCTAATAATAAAAAGGCCTATTAAAAAAAAAGCTTGATCCTACATTGTTTAAAAAAATTTAATTGCTAGTACCCTGTTGGAAAGAGAAGAAATTACAGAACCCCATGAATACTGTACAGTACTGTAGGCCCTCAGTTAAAAAAAAATACAATAAGATAGGACCTCTATTAAAAATGGATGACAGATTAACAAAAACAAATATAATTATTATTATTAATATTAACCATTCCCAGCAAGGAATATTCGGCCTTCACTCATTAGCTGTAGGTGAAGTGAAAAAATACAATCTTAATTTAAGACTAATCATGACAACACAGACTTGTTTAACAAAAACATAATGAAATCACAAATTATTGGTGTTTTTTTTTTTTTTTTTTTTTACAAAACAATCAACAGATAACAAAAAAGCAACTAATCGGTTGAGACTAAACATTAATGAACTATAATATTTTTTTAACAGTTTAATAAAAGTTATCAAAAAAGGGTCAATTTCAACACTCAATATCCATCTCTGAAATATACATGTTTGGTACATTCAACACAATTACAAGGGACATGCAGCCGACACTTACTATTAGTACTACTGTAGTAGGAAAATTTGGCACTGATGTCATAACTTTTATAATGTTTTTTAAACACTAAATCATGCATGCGTGACATGCAATCTATGGAAACATGCAGATCAGTCACAGGTTTAGTCTGTACCTTTTTCTTGGACGTCTTGGTAGATGAGGGATAAAACAACAGCAAGAAGTCAAAAAATGATCACTGCTTTTATCATTCTTAATCCTGTTATGAACATCACAGACACATGGCAGTCTCAATTAATGGTTCATTATTATAGCAAATCAATTAATAAATGGTATTTTACAGAAATTGGCAAAAAAATACAAAGACAAAGAAGTTACTGCAGTATGGAGGTAACGGCACAGAAACTGCCAGGGGGACATAAATTAAAACAAACGGTGTTGTAGGCTATAATTGTATGTGAAAAAAAGACCAAAAAAAATATATACTTATTTTACATCTCATCCATTTAAAATATTGGAAGGGGGGGGGGTTTAAAAAAAAATCTGTGGCATATATTTCGGACAACTGTACAAAAAGTCAACTCATGAGACATCTTGCCAAGGCGGGGACTGGATTATCTAAAAAAATGTCAAACCACACGGTAAGTCGATACAGTTCACTGCTTATACCTGTGTCATTTTAAATTGTTTATTCATTATTAAATCAGTTTTACTATATTAATTATTCTCTATAAAATATACAGTATATTTCGTTAATTCTGTTACAAGAATGACTATTAATTAAGGAGTAAATTTAAATATACAAATTGAAAAAAAAAATGGTGAAAATAGTATTGTACAAAAAAAAACAAAAAAACAAATAACAAAATATTTTATTTCATTTGGCCTTTACACACAGGTGCTATGTGATATTTTTACCAAGGAAAATATCCATCCATCAAATCAAAGATGCTGGTAAACAAATGAAAAAAAAAAAAAGAAAATAGAAAAATATATAAAATTGATGTATATTACCCAACAGTATTCAGCTACATTTAAACTAGTTTTCAGCTTACCTTTTCCACTTCTTTGATTTCAAAGTTCCTAAACAAAGACCCATTTTAACAAAGCAATTGAAAGTACAGAACTACAGTACTGCAAACCAATTGTTAAATACCAGCCTTTACTGTACTCAAATGATAGACAATTTTCTAAATTATAAAAAAAACTTTGTATTGAAGTCAATAAATAACTTCAGTTGCTGCTGTCAAGCACTTTTATTAGACAGGAATCAAGTTTGAAGATTGTTTTTATATGAGGTAGGTTTAAATGAAAAAAAAAAAACAAATAACAAAATATTTTATTTCATTTGGCCTTTACACACAGGTGCTATGTGATATTTATACCAAGGAAAATATCCATCCATCAAATCAAAGATGCTGGTAAACAAATAAAAAAAAAAAGAAAATAGAAAAATCTATAAAATTGATGTATATTACCCAACAGTATTCAGCTACATTTAAAATAGTTTTCAGCTTACCTTTTCCACTTCTTTGATTTCAAAGTTCCTAAACAAAGACCCATTTTAACAAAGCAATTGAAAGTACAGAACTACAGTACTGCAAACCAATTGTTAAATACCAGCCTTTACTGTACTCAAATGATAGACAATTTTCTAAATTATAAAAAAAACTTTGTATTGAAGTCAATAAATAACTTCAGTTGCTGCTGTCAAGCACTTTTATTAGACAGGAATCAAGTTTGAAGATTGTTTTTATATGAGGTAGGTTTAAATGGGCATAAACAATACCTATATCTATTAGAAGGAAAAAATATACAAACTTTTAATGAGTGAGGTTCCTAAATGATAGACCAATCAACGTGGTACTATATTATTTCATAATGCACTAATTAATGACAATTGTTTTAGAGGATATTGAATTTAATGTATAATTGAATATATCCACTCAAACTTACTCAATCATTGCATTATTTGACTGGTATTGTTTTCAATTTCTTATTATTTGTTATGATTAAATACTGTATTTCTTGACCCTGCAGGCTGCAGATATAATGTAGGTTTCTCCATGCTGGGCCATTTCATCTCATCCCCTCATTATAAACCCTCACTATTAACAATGTTGTCACCATTTCCTACTGTACCACTGCACTGATATTCCCATCCCCTACCCCATAATTATTGCTTTAGTTTAGCTCTAACTTTGTAATTAGATTGTTATGATTTAGGTTAACGATTAAAATAACCTTCCTTCCACAAATTCTGATTGTATGCCCACATACTGTAGTTATGATGTGTCTATATATGGTCATGATGTGATGTCATCATGACCATACATAGGCATGTCACATGTTTCTGTCAAACAAAATTTGATAGTCTGTACAGGGTTCTAGATATTTGCTATTTTTGTTTAGTGTTTACTTACTGTACATCTTATATAAGAGTATTAAGAAATACATTTTTGAGATATTTTTAGATTAGATAAAACTTAGCATGTGGCACATCAAAGGCTTTACCAGTAATTATCATTATTACAACAGAAACAAAGACTTTTGGCTCACTCAGTAAATGGAATCTTTGGAGTCTAGGCATTGTTTAATTATCCAGGCTAATTTGCACTTTGTCTTGTTTCAAGGAAACCTTTTTTCAGAATCAATTTGCATGAATAATTTAATGTATTTTTATCTCAACAAGTTTACTGTTCTTTGTGAACTCCATAATCTGGCCAATAATAATGATTTCAAATAAAACTGTTGTATTTATATTTTTATTGTATCTGATGAACAATAAATATCAAAGAAAGAAACATAGGGCTTTTCCTTTTAATTGACATACTGTGAACTGGTGTAAAAATTTACAAAAAAAAAAAACACATTAAAACCAACTCGAAATCAGTGAGCATGTGCACCACCTGTTTTTTAACACACAATTTGGCCGATTTTGGAGGTGCTCATACCCGGGGAATCCTGTTCTCAATCAATAAGATTTTTTTTCAGCACAGCATACCAAATTTGGGTCAATCTTTGATTTTGCTTTTTCTGAGAGTACTGTACAGGGGTGTATCCAGGATTTTTTCTGGGTGGGTCGTAATCATAATTTTTTGGACCTTTTCAGTAGGAAAATTGATTACAGCACCTCCAGCTTTAAGCGGATGGCAGGCTCAGTTTCAGAATTGCTGGAATTGAGATAGATTTAAACGTCACGCAATTGGCAAAGTCTTTGGACTCATTGCTGGTACTTTATCAATGCTTTTTCATTTATGTCATTGTGAAAAGGACCTAGAAAAAAATGTCTTTGGAAAAAATGTGGACATTTGAAATTTTTTTTTTTTTTTTTTTTGGGGGGTTTTTTTTTTTTTTTTGGGGAGGGGGGTCGTACGACCTTCCCAAACCCCCCAGGGCTTGATTTACTACTAGCCTGGAATACTGTACAATGTCTAGCAAAGACGTCATTGGACAAGCCTATTTAATCGGCACATGTTATCCGATGGTCTGGTGAAAAAACTAACAAGCTATTTCTTCTTACGTATACAAGCCTAAGAAAGTAGGCCCTATAGTGTGCTGGTATATTCTGTGGAAAAGTACAGTACAATCTCCAGTAATTTAGCCTAGTGGACTAGTAGCCAAAAAGAAGTTGGAGCAAGGCCTGCACCATCACTGTCTCCCTGTTTTGAAAGCTATGTCCAAATAAATAATTAATTATTATTTATATAGAACTTTTGAAAATCAAGTACCTATAACTAGCACTGCTAAATATCATTTTGTATGTAAAATTAAACTACTGTAGCAGGTAGATGCACTGGATGCAAGATAAAGTGGGAAAAAAAATTACTGTACATAAAATTTAGTAGGAAAATAAGATTCACTGGATGAAGTGGATTACCGGTAAATGGAAAAATATGAGGAAAAACAATACATTGTAAAAATAGAAGGCAAACAACAAGCAAAATGTTAAAGTTGAAAGTTTTAAAGTTATTTAAGAATGAGACGACAAGCAAAAGTAGAAGGTGGCACATTAGACTCAGAGTAAAAATTATTTGATGGAAAGTTAAAATATGAGTTTTTGAAATCAAAATGATAAATATTAAAATGGCTTTACAGTATATCATGACCTGTTGTTTTCTCACCATTGTGTACTGGGGATCTGTTGTTTTCTCACCATTGTGTACTGGGGAGGGGGATAAAGACAAATACTACATAAAAAGTTTTACAAAAATTTCTGTTTTTTCATCAAACAGGACCTACTGTAGTCTGGGCTTAAGAAAAAAGTTTTCTATACCTTGGCTACGGCCAAGAATGGTGAAATTTTTAAAGTGCATTTTGATAAAATGGTTTTACATAATTTCGGTCCAAGTGTTAATATACTGTAGATGTCATGAGAAAGCCATTTTAATATTAAAAGTTAATAAGCCAGCATTTCAGGCATTATATACTTACATAGTTTCACGTGAGCAAGTACAGAAGACCCGCGATGCTTTCACTGTAGCACTACAAGATGTTTAGCAAAGGAAGAAAGACAGCAAGAAAAACACCAAAAAATATATTAAAGTTGAAGTTATAAAATAGAAACCAGATATACATTAAAAGAAATGTAACAACTTTTGAAGAACAAATATAAATGTAGCACCATGAAATATGAAAAAATAGCACATTATATAAATAAAACAGTTATTATAGTGGCCAGCAATTAAACCTATTTTTGTGCATGTTAAGTATACAGTGCTTGACAAAGACACCAAGCCAAATACAGTAGTATCCTGTTGCAAAGAAAGCTGATAAATTATTTCAAATCTGCAGTTCAGCAAGGCAAGCTCATAAAAAAATAATTATAGTAAGAACCTACATTCTGAATAAAACAGAACATAACTCCTACTCACAAAGCATAGGGCTGAGAGCAATAGGGATGAAACATGGAAACACTATCTGCTATATATACAGAACCTACATGGACTCAAATTTTCTGAAATAGCCTGTTAAAAACAATGGAATTGTTTTTCTATGTCCTTCGTACAGTATAATTTGCTGTAAATCTTCAAGTACGATGAGACTTTTTCTGTACCTTGTTTAGCAAACCCACCGCCCGCCAAGTACGAAGATTTTGAATTAAGATAACATTTTATTTATGGCTAATTACCACACCTGCCACCACAAAAAAAAGTATATCAAAAAAGAATTAACCATCCCATTACAACAGAGTTTACTGTACATTCACCAATAAACATTTTTTTTTCCTTCATCTGGATGTTTTTGGCAGATATCGTCTTATTGCTAAATAAGAAAAGAAACTTTAATTTTTTTTTAAATTATCATTATTGGTGGTCGGAGGGTTCACAAAACAATGTTACAAAAATCTGGCCTAAGGAGTAATATTGCGGGAATGTCACCTGCTTTCGTTTCAGACACATGCCAAAACACACTATAACGGCTATATTGCAGAAATATTACTAGGTCTGAAATGGAACGCCGCGTGACTCCAATATACAGAAGGAAATGCCGGGAAGAATTAACGTAGCTCTGTATGAAAGTGGCTTGTATGAAACAGAAAAAATAGAAGGTAACCACATGCTGACGCCCAGATACACCAGAATTAAAAATATCCAATGAGAGATGACACAGTCTACAGGTTATACAGTGTATCCGCCTGAGAAACTTTAATAACAAATCCAGATTCACATCGAATCCAAACTTAAATTCAAAGCGCATTTCAAGTGCTGAATGCCAGCATGCTTATTTTTACACGTTGATTCAAATTTTTTATCAGTTTGGTAGGCCTTTAAAATCTGAAAATTTGAATTCAGTGTAAATTTATTGTCGATCTACTTTTACAGTACATGGACTTTTTTTGAATTGAGAGAAAAAACGATTACACAATATAAACTGGCAGAAATCTACAATCACAAATACAGTAGGAACTACCTTAATCATACAAAGAAAACTGTGTTACTAAACCTTTTTAGCATTGAATTCTGCAAGATCCATTACCCCTTAAAAGTAACATCTTAAATGCTCCAACATTGAATGACAATTTAAGGATTATACAAAAATATGAGATAAAATCATTGTAAAAATTACAAATTACAACAAACATTGATTCCTATAAAAATTAAATGAAGGTCAGTTATAAAATACTTACAGTACTGTACCTTTCCAAACAAGCAAGCAAAACAGTGTGATAGAGGAGTGCTGTGTAATGAAGCACCGACAAAAATAGTTCATTATATACCTAATTTGTTCTTAGTCTTCATTATGTTCTATTGTCAAATGATAATTTGTTTCTACAGTAACAATGACGAGGGCTTCACGAAGATAGCTTTGAGGATAAAATTATTTGACCACAGGAGGCAACAATGTTGACAAAAACAGCAAAAAAATGGTTGCACCCAAAACACGTTTTTAATATTCCTAAATATTTTAAATGCAGAAAACAAATGATGCACTGTAAACCTACTTTACTGTACAATGTCTGAAGATAATTGCATGCACTACTCATATTAATAATTTATTTTATTACCAAAAGCCATCTAAATAAAATTATTGGTGTTTGTCAATAGTTGTATAATATTTGTTACTGAATGCAGCAAAACCTTTGTTGTTGCAATTTCTAATTTCACACAAGCACCCAAAAGGTTTGAGAATCAAAATTATGAAAATTTTCATGTTTTTGCATTTAATTTATAATACTGAAAAGAAGATATTGAAGAACATGCAATAATATCAATCACTAACTATTACTGACAAGTATATTAAAAGTACATAAGAACAAAAATCTTAATAGTAAAACTATGCATTTTTGAGTCTTTGGAAGCTGTTTTCACAAAACCTACAGTACATGTGAATTAAATATTTATAACTTTGCAAATATATTCAATCAACTTTCATAGAAAAAAAAAGAAAAACAAAAAAAAAAACTATTTTCCCCTACTGTAATCCCGCACCTTGGATATGGTTGATACAAAATGGAAGTGTAAAAAAATATGCAGCCATGTGCGTTTGTGTGACAAGACGCGTGTTTGTAAGACACGTCAGAGGCGGCAATAGTGGAGGGTCCTCGTGGGGAAAAAGGATCCGTCGGGGATCTCTGGATCACCTGCTTGTATCCCACTGTCAGGGAATTTTCAGGAAGGTCGACGGGGAAAAATCAAATCGCAAGTACAATCCAAGCATGCCTTACAATAAGCTGTCAAATTTCAGGGATTAAAAACTGTTTAGTGCGAGCTGTGCTACTGTATTTGCGAGGTGTTGTATAATATTACGATCGTATGAGTTGCAGTGTACAGCTCTTCCCCAACAAGGATCTAGTACCTCCGACAGGAGGACTCATAACTTTCTTGGTTTTCTATCAAATTATCATTTTTAAATAAACAATTCCAAAATTAACACAAAATTTAATTTTTTAATAAAAAATTCATGACAAATTTAATTGTAGGCTTCTCCGACTGGAGGGGGTGTGGACAACTTGTCGGGGAGCTTGGAACACCTATCAGGGAATCTTGGTGCCGCCCCTGAGATGTGCGTATTCCTAGCCCTGTTCTAATTGGTCAATTGTTAAGTTTGAGTGACACATCGGAAAGTTCTAAGTTCCACCATTTACACACAAAAAAATAAACGCCTCCCTCTAGGAGCATCCATATTACAGCATATGCATGATAAATAACTTGACTACTGACCATAGTAGATTCTACACTTCGGCCTCAGAAAACTAAATCTAAATTTGTTTGTTGAAGTTCAACAAGAACTACTATTTAGTAACAAATAATTGATACTTCTCAGAGTTTGACAAGATCCAGTAGTAGATGAGTCAAATGGGCCAGCAGTCAAAGCAAGGGTGCTGCGCAACCTACAGTCATAATATCAGAACTGGTTTGAATGGCACGCTTGTCTATTGTTCTGGTGGTGGAACAAGTCTTCTTGGATATTATGACTTATATTAAACTGTAGATTTCGTGTACATATATGTGCAAAGAACCCAACACATCTTTCATGAGTAGTAGGGGGTTTACCCTGGTGTACAGTACTGGTCCCTGTTGTGGAAAGACAAGAAACTGGTACCAGTTTACCAGGTAGCTCAGACACAAAGGGACCCTAATAGGGGAGAAATACCGCACAAGCTAGTCCACACGTCGTGCACTTTTAGACTTCAGAATAAAGCGCTACAGTATATAAAGATAATTACATTACATACAAATACAGGATACTATATAATAAAATCTGAACAAACCTCGCATAATTAAGGTGGCGCTGCACAGCTGTCTTAATCTCCTGTTGATTTTCGATTGGAATTTCTTCCGGGAATTCATAGTTTGCGCATCTTGATTCCTCCACACGGCTGTTCTCAAACACTTGGCGTGCAATCTCTGCATACTCTTGGTCCTTTAGGGTATGTTGTTTTTTGAGAAAGGTTCCTTTGCGGGATGGAGAAAATGTTGATGGACTTGTACCTGAGGGAAAAATGTATCGGGAACCTATAAATTCCTTTGTGTATACAGGTAAATTGTGACATTATTTATTTATTCCTACCGATATACTGTACTTTTAATACTAAATTGTGTTTCAACAAATGTATTATAATACACAGTAATTTTGATGTTTTATTAAAGTGATCCGAAAATTTGCAATAATAAAAGTGTGTAGTACACAATGGAAAAAAAAATAACAAAAATTGCATTTATTTATAAGGATTTACCACTACAGTACCAACAAAATTAATATAAATAGTCTGATAGTAAATTAACAGATTCATCAGGCCTAGAGTAGCTTCAACTTAAGGCCTTGTAAGTAATAAAAGTATATTAGTGGGGTCTAGGCCAAAGTTATCATCATGCCAAAAATCCATACCCTCACAATCACTAACCACCAACGCCCACAAGCATCCCAAACCCTCTCACATACTGTAGCCACCCACCACATGTTCCATGCATGTATGTCCAGTTTATCCACATAACCCAAAGATTCTATTTAACATAACAATAATAATAAGACCTGTCACGCTGCCACTCATCAATTGGTAAGGCAAGGCTTTTTTATCCTGTACCTCGTTTAATGAACCCGCCGCCCACCAATATTCATGATTTCAAATTTTAAATTTTATTTTTGGCCATTTAGCGCACCCGCCGACACAAGATAAATGGAACAAAGCAAATTTTATTACGCCCGCTGCTGCCTTGAACTCCAAAATTAAGACATTGTCATACAGTACCTACAGTATTTCTTCCTAATTATTTTCTTCTACACAAAATTATATTTCTATTTTTTTTTCGCCTTCCTCTGACGATCTTTAAAGAAACAATGAACAAAAAGTCTCGCCTTTAACTGCTTCAAAGCAGGCTTTGATAAAGTCTGGTGTCACCATTTAAACTTCAGCCCATATTACCAAAAAGGATTCCTTAGTGATTAAGGAACAAAATGAACATAAATCTCTAATTCTCAAAGATTCAAGAGAAATTCAAAGAAATCAACAGAAGAATATAATACAGCAAATAAAAAATGTGCATGTGCTACCCCTGAACAATTTGCAAATTATTGGTGCATTTTAAAATTGTGCAACATTCGCCTTGCACAGTTGGCAAGCTGTGCAGTATCTTGCACTTCTCATATTGTGCAAAGTAAATCCTTTAATAGTTTGCAAGAATGCCAGTCAATATGAGGGGATGCTACTTCAAGCAAATGCTAGTTCAAGCAGATGATGCCAGTTTTGAGCAGATGCCAGTTCGAGTGGATGCGTGAAAGTATCCAAAACATAAATTGAGATTTTTTTAATTGTTTTAATGCTAATAACTAAGGTTTTGAAAGTCTTTGATATTTTTTAATTTGGTCCTAAACATCATAGGTACTGTATAGTGATGGAGAGGACTACACTGTAGACTATGGCTGCACAAATCCAGATTGATACCATGCAAAACTTTAATTACCAGTTTAATTCAGATATAAATATTACATACAATTTTCGTTTCATAATATTTGGTCGAAATGTCAGAGTATCTACATATAGTACAGGGGCGGATCCAGAGATGTCCAAAAGGGGGGGCCCGAAAGGGGGCCGATCAAAACAACAATGCCCAAGGGGGTCCGGGGGAATGCCCCCGTGAAATTTTGGTGTTCTAGACGCCCGAAAATAACATTTGAGGCGTTCTGGACTATCATTTTTTTCTTTTCCTTCCTTTTTTTCTTTCTTTTCTCTTTTTTTTTTACCTCCCAAAAAGGGGGGGGGGGCCCCAGGGCCGGGCTGCCCCCCCCCCCTAAATCCTCCCCTGTTGCCCCCTAAATCCGCCCCTGTTGTAGAGTCTTAAATTGGGGGTGGGGGGCTCAATGATTAAATGAGAGGGACTATCTCACAAAACAAGGTGATTTTTAAGCGTGATTTTTTGCTTTGAACATTTTTCGCCCTACAGCCCCTGAATACACCTATGCCAGTGCCAAAAATGTGTAAACAATCTATCGTCAGAAAAACAAGTTATCAGAGGAAAACAGCTATTCTTTTTTTAGCGAATTTGTATCCGAATAGGAAAAAAAAATATCAGATGTTCGGTTAAAATAGGAAATTCACACTAGTTTTAATAAGGTTTGCAAAACTGGACCCTTTTTCACTCAAAATGGCATCTGCTTGAAGTGGCACCTCCTGGAGATAGCATTCGTTCGCAGTGGCACCATTGACTGGTTCCTGTTTAAATGTGCAAGATTTTCTTTCACACTCTGCAAACTCTGCATGGAAAAACTTGCACAATTTGCATGAAATGTCATAGGCCTAGACTAGGCCTATTCTACTATTTACTTTAATGCCCCATTCCCGGCAAAATTTCACTAAAAAAAGAATTTTTAGAAAAAATGCATTATGCACTACTTTAATTATTATAAACAATGGAAAAATATTGGCATAAATTTTAGTTTTATGCAAAAGGATAGGAGATTACCATTTTCTCGACGAATTCTTCGTTACTTGGGCAAATTCAGAGGTTGTAGATTGCATCCACTAGAATGCTCTCGCATTTATGTACTTTATATAGTCAATAAAGTGCGCCCTCTCTAATAAAATTAGTTTTTGTATTTCACATCTCACACACTGCGGTCGATCGCGAAGGCCCGAGATACTGTATGTTTGTTTACAGTAATTTTCAAAATCTCGGTCAGAATCATTTTTTTAAGATTTGAAATTAATTCCTATAAAAATTGAAATATTATATTTCACAAGTGTTAATACTAGCAACGGAAAATATCATGTCGGCCTTTTTTATGTGTGATAACTGAACCTAAATCCAGGCAAGGCTAGGCATAGTCATGCAGTGTTGGATAGGGTAATGTTTCCGGCGCCAACTATAATTCTTCGCAGATCTATCGAGAAATCCAACGTGAAAAATTCATCCGCATTTATTTTTTGTGTGGAAAAAAAAAATCAAATTTCAGTCTTATTTTACATTTTGTTCATGTTTTGCCGGGAATGGGGCTTTAATACCACAGGCCTATGCATTGCCAGGGACAGACCACCACCACCAGATCCAAAAAGTGTCATCGTTGACAACAACAGGCCTTTTTCACGAATCGGTAGACATCTTGAAGTGATGACAAACATTGCAAATCAGTGGTGCGTAACCAACAGAAATAAGATAAGCTTTTGGGCTGATTTTCTGACATCAAACAGGGCGTCGTATCCAAAAAAAATTTCCATATATGATTGCTTTTTGAAGGCTTTTCTTTTTCAATCTTGATTTCAGAGGTCAAAAAAAATTTCAATCATACATAGTGGTGTAGACTAGTCTTTTAAGAACATTTTGCTGGAAAAATTTTTTGGATACGATGCCCCGTTATAGAGTTTTAATTAACATGATGTCAAAAAATCAGCCCAAAAGCTTATCTTATTTCTGTTGGTTACGCACCGCAGATTCGCAATGTTTGTCATCACTTCATGATGTCTACCGCCGATTCGTGAAAAAGGCCTATTATAACGTGGGGTCAGACTCTTTAGGCCTATATACAGTAGCTCTCTTGTTGGACTTGTTCAGAGTGATTCGAGCGAAATTGTAAATATTAGACTAGCCTAAGATAGGTCATGGGCTAATAATAGGCTTAAGAGCCTAGGCCTAAGTTAAGGGCATATTGTTAGGCCTAGCTAAGGCCCCAAACTCTAGGCCAGCCAGCCCCATAGCCTGGCCCTAGCTAGGCCTAGGCCGTGTTGGCCTACCTTCAGACCGCTCTTCTCCAGCTACTTCGTCACATTCAGTATCTAGGCCTAACCGCAGATTCGACCGCAAATTCTGGCTGCTTGCATCAACTGTATCCGACATGTGCAGTCCATTAGCTATCTGTTCCATTTTAAACACTTATCAGCTCTTAATAACTCGATCAGTTGCTTGAAATTTTACGAGCCTCAGTCTGACGATGGTCTGATAAATAAACAACACCAGAGTCAAAACACTAATATAGCGTGAACTCTATCCTTCCCCTTTGTGGGAAGATGAACTTTGGTGGCGCCGGAGAGGGAACTGATCGTGTACGTGTGTCAGAGCATTAAGAGGAGCCCGGCCTGGTATTCAACCTTTTTAAGCTGGGAGTGGGGAGGGGGAGGGCAGGCCAGGCCAGTTCCGATTTGTTGAGACCAGCGGCGGGCCGACATAAATTGTGTACTTCCATTTTCTTTTATAACGGTGAATTCGAAATAGAAGCGGCTAACAATTGAACTTTCACAGATAAGGGAATACCTCAGCCCAACGGTAGCCGATCATTTCGGTCGCGCTTCGTTTCGGTCGCGCTTTGTTTCGGTCGCGCTTCGTTTCGGTCGCGGTTTATTTCGAACAAATATATATTGAGCACCGAAGGAGTTGCGAAAAACGAAAAATTTAATATGCCTAGGCCCTATATATTTTAGTTCGTGAATCGGTTTATCATAGGCCTAAGTATTGTTTTGCTATCTTTCCACTAACAAAATATCTTTCTGCTATATTCTCTTTCTTCCATT